CCTCGCCTCCTAACCTTCCCGTGTGTCCTTTCCTCGCCTCCTAACCTTCCCGTGTGTCCTTTCCTCGCCTCCTAACCTTCCCGTGTGTCCTTTCCTCGCCTCCTAATCTTCCTGTGTGTCCTTTCTTCAACTCCTAATCTTCCCGTGTGTCCTTTCCTCAACTCCTAATCTTCCCGTGTGTCCTTTCCTCGCCTCCTAATCTTCCCGTGTGTCCTTTCCTCGCCTCCTAATCTTCCCGTGTGCCCTTTCCTCGCCTCCTAATCTTCCTGTGTGTCCTTTCCTCACCTCCTAATCTTCCCGTGTGTCCTTTCCTCGCCTCCTAATCTTCCCGTGTGTCCTTTCCTCACCTCCTAACCTTCCTGTGTGTCCTTTCCTCACCTCCTAACCTTCCTGTGTGTCCTCTTGGTGCAGTGCGGCGGGAGGTGAGATCTTCGACCTGTGTGTGTCTGAAGAGCTGCTGCCCGAGGCCCAGATCACCCGCCTGATCCGACAGACCCTGGAGGGGGTCCACCACCTGCACCAGACCAACCTGGTTCACCTGGACCTMAAGGTCTGGCACCCTGAAACAGTTACAGACCAGGACAGGCTTTAGTGCTGGTTTTATGGACCTTCTGGGGTCAGGGTTTGTGTTTTTAAAGGATTTAAACAAGACTCAGGTTCTGTTGAGGTTTAGGAAGTATTCTGGGAGCAGAGGTTTCTGCTGATGGTCAGGATCTGTGTTTCTGTTGATGAACATGTTTTATTTTCTGTTCAGCCACAGAACATCCTGCTAACCAACCTGTCACCTCCTGGAGACATAAAGATCGTGGACTTCGGCCTGGCGCGGCGGCTGGGCGGGTCCGGAGAGCTGCGGGAGATAATTGGCACACCTGAGTATGTTGGTAAGATGGTTGTTAATCCAAGCTTTACTTTAATCTGCTGTGGATTATACTGAGTAACATCTGGTTCTGTTGTTTCAGCTCCAGAGATCCTGAATTATGAGCCGATCACCACAGCGACRGACTTGTGGTGAGTCCACGAGTCCCCCAGGCTGCCCTGCAGGATCCAGGTSTACAGTAAACCCTTCAGACCTGCAGCCTAACTGTTTGTGTCCGTCTTCCTCAGGAGCGTCGGGGTCATCGCCTACATGCTGGTGACGGGCGAGTCTCCGTTCGCTGGAGACGACAAGCAGGAGACTTACCTGAACGTGTCCCAGGTCAATGTGGACTACAGCAGGGAGTCCTTCACCAGGGTCTCTGAACTCTCTGTGGACTTCATCCGCAAGCTGCTGGTCAAAGCTCCTGAGTGAGTCCAGAACCAGACTCAAAGGGTGTACTTTGAGTTTGAATTAAATAATGTTTAACGTGTTGTTTCTGACATGTNGACTTGTTTCTGACACGTCTGACTTGTATAACGACTTGTTTCTGACACGTCTGACTTGTATAACGACTTGTTTCTGACATGACTGACTTGTTTATGACACGTCTGACTTGTATAACAACTTGTTTCTGACACGTTTGGCTTGTTTCTGACATGTTTGACTTGTTTCTGACACGTCTGACTTGTATAACGACTTGTTTCTGACACGTCTGACTTGTATAACTACTTGTTTCTGACATGACTGACTTGTTTATGACACGTCTGACTTGTATAACAACTTGTTTCTGACACGTTTGACTTGTTTCTGACATGTTTGACTTGTTTCTGACACATCTGACTTGTATAACGACTTGTTTCTGACATGACTGACTTGTTTCTGACACGTCTGACTTGTATAACGACTTGTTTCTGACACGTCTGACTTGTTTCTGACACATCTGACTTGTTTCTGACACATCTGACTTGTATAACGACTTGTTTCTGACACGTCTGACTTGTATAACGACTTGTTTCTGACATGACTGACTTGTTTCTGACACGTCTGACTGCAGGGACAGGCCGAACGCCGCAGAGTGCCTGAGCCACCCGTGGTTGTGGAACCAGCAGCTGTACCTGAGCCCGGACCCGGTCATGCCCCGCCCCCTCAGAGAGAGGAGCTGCGGCACCAAGTGGTCGGCTCAGCTGGACGACCGCGAGGACAAGGAGAACTTCCTGGAGTCGCTGCACTCTCACGCCAAAAGGTCCCGCCTGGAGGAGGAGGCGCCCGCCGCCGGAGACATCGACGTTTGACCAGAGGGAGGACAGAAGGGGGCGGGGCTTAGGGTCACTTTTTAATTCTTTTAACTCCAGAAACCTCCTTGATCTGTTAGGACGTGAACTGGACCACCTGAACCAAAGATAACCAGTTAATAAACTCTGCTGTACCTTTAAGCTCCTAAAGTTCTGCTGCAGGCCCGCTTCTGGATCAGTCTATGCATTTATAAACCAGGAAGTGCGGCTCGTCCTGTCCTTACCTGACCCGCCGAGGAGCTCCGAGTGAAACTCAGCAGCAGAATTGAACCCAGAAGACCCGCTCGCTCGGTTCTGACCGGACTGAAAACGTAGCTCAGGGTTTTAGTTAGGACTCGTTTTAATAACTCGTCTGTAGTTTGGATTAACGACTTTAGCACTTAGTGAAGAAACCCTGTGTGTGTGTGTGTGTGTGTGTGTGTGTGTGTGTGTGTGTAGTCCTCTCTTCCTGTTTCATCTCAGGGGCGAGCTGCTGACTCTTTTCTGTTTTAAAGTTATTCCTACGTCCACTCTATTATTATTGTTGTTGTTGTTGTTATTTATGTTCTGATCTTTAGTTAATGTAAATAAGCTGAAGTCTTTAATCCGCGCTGATAATGAAGGAAGGTTAATTATTTAAAACAGGAAGGTGTTTTTAAGGCGGTGCAGAGAAGTGAAGAAACGAAGGCAACAGAACCCAGTTGGTTCTGATGGACGGGTTCAGAGGAACGGTTCTGAGCAGGTTTGTCTAACGAAGGTGTCGAGGACGTTGGGAATAATTTTGTTTGTTTTTCGAGTCACGCAGAAGGAAAATATTGAGATTAAAATGTTAAAATMGATTTAGTCTTTAAAGACTTTGTTGTTTTATTTTTCTCTCCGACCGCTCCAGAACCGCTCCAGCTGTCGTTCAGAGGTGCCAAACCCAACAGAACCGCTTTGTTTGTGGCCACAGTGGGGGGCTTTGTGCGGCGGGACCGGCGGCTCCAGTCACGCTCTGACGCCGTCGTCCCGGAGCGGGTCGGGTCCAGCTGCAGGATTCTCTTTAGCTAGTTTGTGTTTTCTGACCCGAAGCTGAACTCAGAGGTTCTGCTCTCGACCCGGTGCTGTTGGACTGAAGGAGGAGTCAGACTTTTTTTATTTTATATTTTTTATTCTAATGGCATTAAAAAAGAAATGATCTGTATTGTGATCCGCAGCAGGCCAACATGGCGGCYTCACAACTGGAGAAGCTGATTAAAGGTTGTAGACAACACGCTGAGCCTGGTTCTGTTTTCTTTTGTCCCACCAGAACCGTCCTGCAGAACCTCTGTCCACGTAAACACAGGAATGCATCTGAAGTCACATSAAACACGACGAGCAGCAGCTAAACTCAAACTTTTATCTGCAAACAGGCTGAAAGGCTGAGGTTTGTCTACGGAGCTCTGCTGAGGCCATAAAGTTTGTTTAAAACTTTTAACTAAAATTTAAACTGAGTAAACTTTATTTTTGATTATGATAGAATGACCTGCCATACATTCTGCATTTATATGAAGTGACAAACTGCCATACTTTTCGATTCTGATACAATGGTCTGCCATATAGGGTTTATTATAGGATGCAACAACTTGACATATTTGTAAATGACACAAGGGCCTGCCATATTTTTAATTTCTAAGTACTTTTTCGATTTCTAACTGTTTGTTAAAAAATATTTTTAACAAATTATTTGAAACTGAGAAAATATATTGGTTATTTTTAATTATGATACGTTGACCTGACATGTTTTAATTTGTGATATGACACGTCTGACTTGTATAACGACTTGTTTCTGACATGTCTGACTTGTATAACGACTTGTTTCTGACATGTCTGACTTGTTTCTGACATGTCTGACTTCTATAACGACTTGTTTCTGACACATCTGACTTGTATAACGACTTGTTTCTGACACGTCTGACTTATATAACGACTTGTTTCTGACATGTCTGACTTGTATAATGACTTGTTTCTGATATGTTTGACTTGTTTCTGACATGTTAGACTTGTATAACAACTTGTTTCTGACACGTCAAACTTGTATAACTTGTTTCTGACATGTCTGACTTGTTTCTGACACATCTGACTTGTTTCTGACACGTCTGACTTGTATAATGACTTGTTTCTGACACGTCTGACTTGTATAACGACTTGTTTCTGACACGTCTGACTTGTATAACGACTTGTTTCTGACACGTCTGACTTGTATAACGACTTGTTTCTGACACGTCTGACTTGTATAACAACTTGTTTCTGACATGTCTGACTTGTTTATGACATGTCTGACTTGTTTCTGACA